TCATAAATAGTAACAGTTGACTTAGACGAAGAGAGAATGAATGCGGAAATGTTAATGATACATTGATTTTGTTACAAAGCATCTTCATATTTCTGAGAATTGAAGATCTTTTAAAGAATCTGCTGTTCCCTCTCGAACTTTTCTTCCTCCCCTCTGTGAAGACCGAAGTAAGCTAGACCTAATGATAACTATCGAAACGCCTGTCATTTGTTATAAAATAAAACGTATCTTTGCCTATAAAATGAATGAGTGGGGTGTCTTTACCCTACAGACTAATTAATTCAATTTATTTAACTAAGTCACGATTTTGGAAAATATACCAAGTTTGGTGCAATTCAATTTTCACATGATTTGCTATCACTGGGATATTTAAGCATTGATAACCTGTTACAAATATTCAAAATCATTCATAAAAAACGGTGTGGGCGATGAGATTGGATCATTCATGGTAAAAAGTCTTCCAGTAGTCTCGTTACTATTGATCAACATTAGTTAATGCCCAAAGAACCAGTGATATGGGGTGTCATGAACAAATGTCCTTGCAAAATGAGATCATCCATTAATTAATTCTCACCATTCATTTGAAACTTCCATCTGTTCTCCTGTTAAGACCGCATGCTTCAAATTTCGTTACCCATGACATTTGATTTAGAAAAATCGATGGCAATTCAATTGGATTTCTTTGAGAGAATTCATTTACACATTGTAATCTACTTGGAATTACCTATGCCAATTCGAAAGACAATTGTTCGTAAATGCAGAATTTTGAGTTGTTTCAAGTCACAAAGAAAGAATTTGAGTGCAAATATATATAGGACCATGGAAACGATTTGCCAAGAATCCAGTTGCCATAGTAATTACTTTACTCAGTCCAGCAATTCAAACATTGGGAATGAGAACTCACTTCTTCAAATTGACCACCGTTCCTTCATCTCATGACTGGTGCAAAATTAGCCACATTGTAGACGTATCACAGTTTTCTACACTGCAAAATTTCCATTAAAAGACTCCTATTAAAAGAAGTTATGGATTCTAGTTCGAAAGCGAAATTAATCACCTTGGTCAATCGGTTGGCAGGTCCTTCGGTGAATATGGACAAGAGTTCCACAGAAGACGTTGAATTTATCAAATAACCACCAACGTAAACATTCCCATTAAAATTTTTGCTGATGAAAATATTCCTGAAGTAAGCATTCAGCGTTTTCATATCAAACAAGATTTCCTCATTGTCGATACACGACCGAACATGACCAACTACTGTACACCTACCAACTCATGTTATATGTTCCTCGCCTGTGGCACACCTAGGGGTGGGCATATGGTGCCAATTCGTCCACATAATTTAAAAAAAATAAAAGCACATGATAGATTAATATTGTTTCGTTATATTATAACAGTGCCAATAACAATCAAGTGAATGTAAGACATTATGCAACTCAGTGTAGACACACTCAGTTTAATGCAGAAATGCATTTACTACCTAGACAAATTATCTTGGAATACGCACAAGTTGAATATAAAATGCGTACAAATTGGTTGCGGATATGTATTCCTCACAAAAGGATAACATTTGGCCACATATTCATCAAAAACTAAAATGGTTTGGTTTCTAGGCACTGCCAATTGATCAATTCTCCCATCACATACTGATTGAAGCCCAGTCATTTCACCATTCTGTGGATTACTTCTTTCCATTCTTGATCTAATTTCTCCAAAATTGTTTTATGCCACCAGAGCATTAACGCTACCCATAAGGAGTAAAGTATGTTCCAAACATTGCAAGCAGCAGCAGTGTGGCTGGAAGCTCTAGAGATGAATAGGAAAGAACAACTTCTTCCTCCACTAAGTTCAGCAACTTCCGCCAAAACACCGCCACTTGTATCGTCTTCCCGTCCATGAACATAGATTGATGATTCCTTTCTGCAATAGCAAGACTATACGTTACGTATTTCATATTTTGTGTTACATGTAAATTCGAACGTGCCTTTTCAATACAGATTCATTCAATTTCATGGCAGTGTCTCCTTAATGACCACATATTCAGTAATGAGAATGAGACAATACCTGGCACTTTCAATTAAATTGAATTCTATTTCACCCACTGAAGCTTCAATAACAAACTCCTTCGACAAAAATGTTTCATTATGATCAACTACAGGGGAGGAAGGAAATGCTTTTCGAGTTAACCTGTTCATGAGTTAAGGAAGGGGTACGCAACCATGTGCAGAGTGCCCTGAATTTTACTGTATCTCTTCCATAACTTATCCACAGACTTTGCAGTAAGATTTGAAGTTGATCGACTCCTATGTGTTGCAGGAAGTGCTGGTTGGAGGCTAATCTCCCAAAATCACATGCTTTTCTTCTCAATGAGATTGGTGTTTGAGTTGATATTTCTTGTTGACCAAACACCCACCAAATCAAGTCAATCAAGTCTTCAAGACGATTACCTCATGAGCGCAGTGATAATAGCCAAAATATCAGACCTTGTAAGAGAGGACTCATCTCTTTTCATTCTTTTTCAGAAATAATAATTCAATCAACCATCGTTTTTTACCAATATTTGCCATTTCGTTACTAAACACGCTTCACTAATATTCCTCACATAATTATTGATTTTTAAACCACTTGACATTCAAGATGTGAGCACTTGTCATACACATGCACGAATTATCTTTATTTTGGTTAGACAAAATGAACCTTGTCTTGATGAACTCCGTTGTCCAATGAATCAGCTATTTGCAGCCAAGATTGTGGGCCATCAGATGTATTCCCAATGCGTTGTCAACATTTATGACTATTTCAACAGTGTAGGCAAAGTCGACGACTGCCATAACAATACTAATGAGTTGATATAGTAATTGAGACAGATGACAAACTCATGTGAAAAACTATTGCATTTTGAGAGATTGGGTTGTTTATTATTTTCGATACTGTTCCTAATTACCGGAAATTGTGTCCAATGAACGAGTTTCTGAACAGGAATAACTGCGAAATCTTTGGTCAAGAAATAGACAACTAACAGCTTCTACGAAAATATGCACTCACAGGTATTGACAAATCGATTAGTGACACTTCTTGTGGCAATTCATTGAACTTATCTACATAGTTAGTGATGAGGTCTTAATCAATTTTTTGGGAACTTTGTAATCAATTAAATCTTAGCAAATACACTGCATTTGGCTCATATTTTTTCATAAATTTCTCGTTTCTCGACTTGATGTGTGCTAGCTTTTGAAGTGAATGTAACACAATATGGTTTAACGCCATAAATAGCACAATAATTGGTTGCACAACGAATTTGAAATAGGTGTTTCGTATAGGGCAGAATATGGTGTGATGTAATAAATAGCACATGAGAATCTGTAAGATGTCTCTTAAGAAACGTCGAATCGAATTAAAATTGAAGGTAGGCAAGGCAGAAATTTATGTCCCTAATATGGTGGTCATCGGAACAGCAATCGAAGCTCTAAAGACAAGGGATTACAATTCAATTTTTGAGTAGACTTTATTCAATACATTTAAAAAAGGAATATATTTAAAATACTCTACTGAGCATTGTTGAAAGCGACAAACTATAACGGAGATATAATCAATTAGGAAACCATAATTCGTGCATGTTTTCGGTTCTAATATGTTACAACTAAATGTAAAACGTCTGACAAAATTCAGTAGAATATGTGTTCAGAAGGGTTAACTCAAATGCTTGACGAAACGTTACCACAAGTTTCCAATGAAATATGTCAATGTTATTTTATTTTTATCATACAAATGTACGTAGCAATAAGTGTGAGGTACATTTGAGAATAAATATTGCAATTTTAAGTAAGGTAGCTTAATCTGACATAAGTTCGTACCAAATCGAACTGGCAATAATTGTTAGTAAAATCACAAATTCATTCATAATAATTTATTTAAGTGCATTCATCTCCATTAAATATATATTTCTGGAAGATTCTAGATTTAATATAAATTTAATTAGTGTGGATAGGTAGGTTTCTAGGTGGAATTAGAGCTCAACAAATCAAAAAGCTTACATATTTACGAAACTCGAGAATATAGGCTTTTTTGGAAAATATTAAAGAGATGCCACGAAATTGAGATGCTTCAGCTTAATAACAGTCGATTTGGCAAATCGAAATGTTTGAGTGCTTTCCTTAGCGAGTGCTCTTTCTGTTGTTGTGCAGATAAATTCACGTATTCCTACCACCAACATTTTCATAAAAGCATCTTAAATTATTCATGAGACATTATTTGATCATTAAAAACTCCTAAAACCCAATTAAAGTGTTTGAAATGCAATATATACACGTGCTATTGCAACCATCACAGCCAGTCCTCTAATAAGCAGTGTATGCAGGAAATACCGTGGGATCAATTTTTCCCTTCAATTGTGCAAATCTGGTTTTATCCTTCAGTCTCCAAATCGAAATCCACCTAGACATAATGTTTGAGAGAGCATATGATTACTTGGTTGAAACGTGCTCAAATTGCCGACATCAAACAAATTGTGAACAGACCACAAGTAAATTTTTGCTTGTATTGAACTCGATTTCAATAATCAGTATTAGACAAGATATGTTGCATTAATGGAATTAATCTTCATAAAGAGTATTATCTTAAGCAAAGTGAAAATAAAAAGGAGAAATCATGCTGCAATATATTGAACCGAATCGTATCCTCTCCCATGCAAAACCCAAGTTCCATGTAACTTCTGGATGCCAATTTCTTTTCAAAAAAAAGCAATTTGTTTCGCAATTCATTTTCGCGCTCCTTGTGACCATAATCAAATTGTGTTCCATTTTCTTCAAAACTACCACACACTAATTTGAATACCAGAAAATTTACGTCAAGGACGTGCCAGCCGTAGGGTATTAGATACAATTTTATTGGCTATGAAAGGGTATGTGTGCTATTCCATTGCTTTAAATACTCACCAAAGTCTGAAACTTTTGCATTCTCATCGCAACCTACCACAGCTTTTTGCAATAATTGTATTATCGATGAAATTCACAACTGAGATCCTAAATTTTGATGAAGACTTCCTACCTAACTTTGCAAATAAGTTCAATCTATTGCGACAAGAAAGGAGCCTAATTGATTTGAATATACTAGTGAGTACATATTTTTGTTGAAGGGACAACTTTTCTCATTCCAGACCAAAGGCGGCACTTCTATTCCTGCCCACAAACTTGTCCTTTGTGCACAATTCCCAGGAATAAAGAAGAGTATCTTAGAGAGCAAACATTCAAACCTCTCAAATTGGAGTCGTTTTCCATATGAGTAGGTCATCTATCCTGATTCCATTACCAACTCGTTAGTATTGTTATGGCAGCCGTCGATTTCGCCTACACTGGTGAAATAATCATAAATGTTGAAAACGTATTGGGGATATATCTGATGGCCCACAATCTTGGCTGCAGACAGCTGATTGACTGGACCACGGAGTTCATCAAGACAAGGTTCGTTTATTGCAACCAAAATAAACATAATGCGTGTTTGTGTGTGAGAGTGTTAGTTTTAGTGAAGTGAAGTTCAAAAGAAAAGCAAAAGATGAATAATAGAATAGGTGTTTGTGGCAAAGGATGAAAAAACGTGCCACCCATCACTCATGCGCAAGAGGCCATTGTCTTGTAGACTTGATCGACTTGATTTGATGAAGGTTTGGTCGGCAGCAAACGTCACTTCAAACAATGATCTCATTGGCGTGTGCATACCAAGGGTTGCGTGCGATTTTGAGAGATTAGCCTCCAGCCAGCCCTTCCTTCAACACGTAGGTGTTGACCAACTTCAAACCTTACTGCAAAGTCCCTGGATATGTGATGGAATAGAAACATTGAAATTCAAGACAATCTGCACATGGTTGCATGCATCCTACTTAAATGACGAACACGTTAAAATCGAGAAGCATTTCCGTCCTCTTCTCAAGTTGATCGACATGAAGAAATTGCCAAGAGAGGTTCTAATGGAAGTGTCAGTTAGTGGATCGGATTTCAACTTGTCGGAAAGTGCAAGGTAAAATGTCATTCCCATTATCGAATAATCGGTTCTTCAGGTCAACATTTATGGACGCATTTAGGAATTTGAATAAAATGAAAAAGGAAAGGTACTCTCATTTTTTTCTATAACACTTGATTTGAAATGCATAATGCAATGTTTTGTCGTCGCAGCTCGAAATCGATGATCTGTTTTCATGGGCGTAAAGACACTCCATGTAGTGGAGTTTTGGAGGCGATTTCTGAACTTAGTGGAGGAGGAAAAGTTTCTTTTCCATTCGGATTTCGAGAGTGCAGCTACACAGTTGCTTTGGATGGTTGGATCTAACTTCGATTGCTTACACTCAATTACTATTTTTACTCCTTGTAGGTAGTGTTTATAGACTGGGTGGGTATGACGAGTATGATCAGATTACATCAAGAGTGGATAGAATCAATCCACAGAATGGTGAAGTGACCTTACTCCAACCAATGATCGAGGGGAGAGGTAGGCATTCTGCAGTGGCTCGAGATCATGCAGTTCTTGTTTTTGGAGGTCATAATTCGCAAAGTGACAAAATATTAGACTCTTGTGAGGAATTCTCACCTGCAACCAACACGTAAGCATTTTATATATGCGGCTTACACACATTTTAAAACATTTTGCCTGGTGTGATGTTCTGACCTACCTTGATTGCAACTACAGACATCTGAATCAATCTGAGTTTGTCCGATTATGTGCTGATAATGATTTACACTCACTTGATTGCTCTTGACAATGAACTGATATCTGATGAGACTTTTCACTCACCTTTTGTTACATCTTGAGAGTTCTGAAAGTACTCACTCATTGGTACATCGTCATTAGTTGTAAGACATTGATGTCAGTTGGACATAGCTCAGCTATAGTTAAAATGAATGCATTTCATCTATTTATTATACAGTGGCTTTTGAAGCAAACTGCCACTTATAACTGAAAACTAAAGATATTTCAAAAATGGGATCGCCAGTCGATTGTTTATTCAGATTGACAAGATTTTTGAAGTTACGTCCATCAACATGTACATATAACGGTTGATTAACATGTTCTGATATCACGTTCATATGCATTTCGAGATATTTGTAAATGCATTTTCTGCATTTATGTGAGTTAGTCTGCTTTTGGTTGGAAAATGACTTGCATTCATTTCATTGCTATTGGTAATGCAATATGATGTGACTTATCATTCTTGGAGTGTTCTGAAAAAATATTGTGTAATTTATACATCGTCATAAATAGTTGGATATCGTATCCATAGAACACTGCTTGGCAACCGTTGGCATGTTGCATTGCCTTTGTTACAAAAGGTGTTCTCATATCTGTGAATTGAAGACCTTTCAAATACCGAAACAGCATAGGCTGGGATGTGAAAATAAGGAAGATGCTGGTAGTATTGTGCCCCAGCATGTGTGCATGGGATATTAGACCCCGCCTGATTTCAAGCTCCAACTTGTAGGTCGAAGGCAACGAATCAGCAAATATCACTTGAGAATTTAGTATTTTCAAAATGTAGGTGGAGGAAACTGCCCCCAATGCCAACACCTAGGTCTTCCACAGGAGCAGCACATATACCCGGTGTTGGTGACATAGTTGTTGGTGGGTGGACAAAAACTGGAAATTCAGGAAAGTCAATCGACAAAGCGGAAATCTTTTTGACAACTTCATCGCCTCTTGGACATGCAGGCAGTTGGTGTGAAATCACTCCCATGCTTCTTTCGAGGCAACGTCCAAACGCAGAATTTTTCAATGGAAGTGTATATGTCGCCGGTGATAGTAAATTAATAAATCCAACTTATTCTGTGGAGATGTTGTCCTTATTTACTGAAGGACCTCCCCAGTGGACCGAAGTGATTAAACCCACTTTTAAGCTACTCTCGTTGATCTCTTTTAATGGGAGTCTTTTGTTTGGTTGTGAGTCATTTTTAATTTCATTCAATATTTTTGAAGAGAATTAGAAATATTTTCTTGTGTTAGAAATTACGAGTTGTCAACAACAGGATTATCTTCTCTCAAACAGGCAATTGATTAATTTGAAAATATGAGGTCATAAATACGATTTTTTGAAATTCTGGAATGCGTTTAGAAATGCTTTGACAACTGGAATAAAAACAGTGCTGTTTGTATATGATTTCTACCTTAGTAACTCAATGCAACTTAATATTCCTAATTTAAATATCGTGTGTCATACTTGATTTCACATACATTACAAAGCGGAAATCAATTTTTCCTAAGGAGTCTATTTAAATGCCATCGAATATCTAAAACAAAATTTATCTGTGTCTACACTTTAAGACAAATCAATGTTCACCTTGATTTTACTGTAGTTTTTATTGAATGCACTCCAGACCCCTGGTACTTTTCGCTTTGACAACTCTTGATGAATAGGAAGAAAGATTAGTAGAATTAATACCAGGGAAGGTCCACACGCATCCCTCACCGTCTTTGTTGAATGATTTCAAACATCTAGACATAAGCTTATTAATGTTCACAAGTCCCAGAGATAACACTCCTTGGAAAGATCGAATCGTAGCTTAATAGACATACTCGCAGAAAGTCAAGGCTCGTTTACACAAATGAGATTAACTTGTGTGCAGGTGGAAGACAGCCTCACTCATTCACTATGTAGTCAGACATTGAGATCGTTGATGATACAGACGCCACTCTTACATACTGCAATGCATAATTGACAGCGAGTTCATACCAGTATTGCTTTGAGCAAATTGTTCAATCAGATAAATTGAGTGGGCTTTCTATTTCCTTCCCTCATCTGAAAATTGAATTTTGTGAGCAAGTTGTAGATAAAGAGCAATCACCAGACACCACTCAAGGTTAATTAAAATGAACTGATATTCAAATCTGATCATAATTTATTCTCATTGTAGCTGACGAAGGAAGAATATATGAGTTATTATTCAACCAAGACAATGAGGTAAGTTTTATGACATTGAAAGTCTAGGAAAGTACAGGTTACCAATCAATCCCTATTTATTGCTAATTCAGACCTCCTTAGAACCAAAGTATTCTTGGAAATTGATTTCTGAATTGGACAAAATGGAACGACTTCGACTCCTAAAGATAAATGATCTCCCGTGATTCATTTCCTCTCCTCCAATAAACTGTTTTCACTGTCTCTCTCCTCTCGCAAATGAACTGAGGTTAAAATAATGACTGTGTTAGGTTAAAATATCTTTCTACATTGTGAATAAATTTATTTATTTATTTATTTCTAATGGCAGGCGTTTTGATNAGCTCTTACCCTTTCACATTAGACTAACAATCTTCATTCTTCTCCGATTTCAAGACTAGTTCAATTAAGGAACAAATTAACTGAAGCTTCAGTCAACCCTTTCCCTGAATGAACTCACCTATGCTTAAAATTCATCAGTTTAAATCTCAAAGATATTCTAATGAAAACTGAAATATTGTTGATTGTTTTAATTTTATCTTTAGAGTCACTAATGAAGTCAATTTAATTAAACTTGAAGTGTGAATTATCCCATCGGCCAACTGACAATTACACATTTAATCAAATTTGAGCGTTCTTTCTTTTCATTTCGACCTAAAAACAAGTGGACTTTTAAAGTTCAACATTGAATTAATTACTTACTTTTTACATTGTGACATCAATGTAATTTGTTTTGACAAGGTTTAAAAGGCATTTCGAAATACAACCAGCAAACAGTAGTCAATGGCAATCATGCGAGTAATTACTCCATTAGATATTCACTTAAAATGACTATACAACTTCTGATTTCGTTAAGCCGTGTGTACAAAACGGGTTATTTTCCAGCACCCTGTTAGAATATAAAAACAGGTATTCTTAGTGTGTAACACTCAAGTTAAGTGAAGAGGTCACATTGGAAATTGTATCAAATCATTTAATACCTCTCCAACATTCACAGAGTTTACCAATCTCTTTATTAACTAACTTGAGCCATAATAGTTGATCATTTCAAACCCAACTTGCATTCAACCAGACATTTCAAACACCGCTGTAGAACACATTGGCCACTACGCCACAAGCAAGAACTCACTCGATTTTTCAACTGATAAGGCGCTATACTCACCAACATATGCCATCGAGACGAAATCAAGACCATTTCGTATTCCAAATAGTTTGTAAGAGGATGGAAAAGCGCTTTTATTCGTAAAACACTGTCTGCTATCTCCGTTTTATCAAGTAATCTTAAGAAGATTGACTTCTAGAATGAAGCTAGCAAAGTCTTAGTTGCTTTATTGGCCCGTATCAATGACTACTTTTTATTAACATGATCTCAGGTCGTTGAACTAACCATTGGAACTCATCGTGACAATCATTGAATATACAACCACAAAATGTCACATTGCCAGAAATTTCCAGGTGTGCTAACGTCTGAAAAATGGGAATTATTGTCTGTTATTTTTCTAACTCATAATGAAAAGATTTAAATTATGAAGTCCTTTTAAATGCAACCAATGGACATCAGGTTAGAATAGTGAGAAATTGAGATTTAGGGAAATTTAACTAATCTGAGTGTTGCAAATCAAATAACTGCCATCCTAGTGCCCTCTCGCCTTAGAGAAGATGGCGGTTGTCCTACTTGATGCTTCAACATCTTCTGATTTGCACGACCTATTGAACTGGTCGGCAAAATCTCAAGTCTGTTTGTGTGAAGTGATTTGTGATTTGAGAAACAAATCTGTTTCAATCCCCATGACAAGTTAAAAAGTCATGAGTGTGGGGACGGGGGGTGGTGGAAGAGTCCGTATTCAGGGTATATCAAATGATTGAAATGTGATGGGAAAAGATGGAGGCCTTGATTTTTTATTAAGAAATGAATGATGATTACTACAGGTAGCCCTTTTTGAATTCGGGAGCTTGTATTTGAGCACAAATTCTAAGTGGAAAAATTCCGTTTGTGATACTTTTCTAACTTCCAATCTTGGTTCTGAGGTGAGATCTTCCTTCCTCTATCCAGAGTCTTTTGGACTGTTAATCTAAGTCTATGGTTACTCAAGAGTAAATAGACTGTTTTGAGATGAGAGTTGTAGCAACACGTTCGTAATATTAACTGAACTCAAACCTGTCTCAATTTGATCACATGTCTTTGTTTCCGATCTCAATAACATGAAGAAATTTGTCTTTACTTAAACAGGCGCGTTATTGAGAGTTAAGCGTTTTTTCATATATCTGGACAATTGCAGAATCACGAATGTATTAGCACTTAACGTCTTTATTCTCGGCATAAATGCCCCCTTTCACAATTAACTTCTAACGATGCTTCCCCTTCTTGGCTCTCGAAAGCTGATTTATAGTTCTAATAGAGAACTCGAAATTTTGAATATTTACTCAAATTAATTATTTGCCAAATCGAACTCAAAGAAGATCTCTATGCTGCAATTCTCAGACCGATTTCTCCAAGATATGCAAATCTAAATAAGAATACAACAACCGTTTCTGCTCTTTCAACAATCCTGCCCCCCTCCAACTTTTTGTGGATTATGTATCGCCTTTTTTTCTCTCCAATTTCAAGGCGAGGTTTTAGTCCAAAAGATCATAAACTCTCCGATGGCCATAATATTCGAGTCCAGCCTATTGCCGATTGCTACCATAACAAGCCATGTCTGATGCCCAATAACCTCGATGGTACCCTCGCCTCAACAATATAGAGGTGATAAACGTGGAGTATGGAATGGGTTCATTTTGGATTTGTAAATGTCTGTCACAGAGCTTGGTCATTAAAATACAGGGATGGGTATGTTAAACACTTCACGGACTTTTAAGTGGTAGATGCCCGAGAGGGCCCACTGGCTCCCTTGGGGTCTGTCTTAGGGGGTGAGGAAATTTCATTCTTCATCCATGACAGCGTCATGCACTCCATAAGCGAGTCACTGTCACTAAGTGCACTTACTTACCTTCTTGCTACTGAAATGAGCTTACTATCACTATCCCTCTACCCTCAAATATGTGACTATTGTTCTTTTCCCAATCTCAACATTTAAAATTTGAGACAATGTTTGAAAATACTAGTAAGTAACTGAGTGGTCAGACTACGATTGATTGTCAAGACCAATAAAGCATAACCCGCATAAATATATGCTATTTAGTCTCTTTATTGATCATTCAAGGCTCTCCTAATTGATGGAAGGAAATTGAAGAGATTGACGTTTGGAAAGTATTTTTGAGATGCTTAAGGTATCGAGAAGATTTTTTAGTTCCTTTAATCGACGCAGCCATCAAATCTCGGTGGACTTTAATGTTATTTTATTTTTAAGTTATTGTTTTAAAAGGAGCGGACTTCAATTTGTATTCCTCAACCTTAAAATGTGTAAACTAACCGGTGCGATAGAGGGGGGGGGTGGAAGGGG